TCTTTCTTTCTTTCTTTCTTTCTTTCTTTCTTTCTTTCTTTCTTTCTGTCTCTTTCTTTCTTTTTCTTTTTCTGTCTTTTTCTTTCTTTTCTTTCTTATTTCTTTCTTTCTTTTCTTTCTCTTTCTTCTTTCTTCCTTTCTGTCTTTCTTTCTTTCTTTCTTTTCTTTCTTTCTTTCACCTCCAAGAGGTGGCCTTTTATTTTCAGCACTTTATATATATATACATATATATTATTAATTACACTTTATTCACTTTGTATCCCTTGATAAGTCCCTCCCTCCTCCCCTCCAGGTCCCATCCTCCCTCCCCCTTCTTCAAGCATGCTCCTCCCCAAGTTCACTGATAGGGGAGGTCCTCCTCTCTTTCCTTCTGATCTTACTCTATCAGATCTCATCAGGAGTGGCTGCATTGTCATCTTCTCTGGCCTGGTAAGGCTGCTCCCCCCTCAGGGGGAGGTGATCAAAGAGCAGGCCAATCAGATTATGTCAGAGGCAGTCCCTCTTTCCACTTGGACACTAAACTGCCATGGGCTACATCTATGTAACCCATTTGGACACTAAACTGTCACGGGCTACATCTGTGCAGGGGTTCTAGGTTATCTCCATGCATGGTACTTGTTTGGAGTATGAATCTCTGGGAAGACTGCTGTGTTCAAAATTTTGGTTCTGTTGCTCTCCTTGTGGAGTTCCTGTCCTCTCCAGATCTTACTATTTCCCACTTCTTACATAAGATTCCATGCTAATTGCCCAACAGTTGGCCATAAGTCTCAGCATCTGCTTTGATAGTCTGCAGGGCAGAGCCTTTTAGAGGCCCTCTGTGGCAGATTTCTAGCTTGTTTCCTGTTTTCTTCTTCTTCTGTTGTCCTTCCTCTTTGCCTTTCCGGATGGGGATTGAGCATTTTAGTCAGGGTTCTCTCTTTTGATTAGTTTCTTTAGATTTACAGATTATCTTATATGACATGTCTATATGAGTGAGTATAAACCATATGTTTCTTTCTGCTTCGGGGAACCCTCCTCCACTGCTGGTGGGAATGTAAACTTGTACAGCTGCTCTGGAAATCAATCTGGCTCTTTCTCAGACAACTAGGAATAGCGCTTCCTCAAGATCCAGCCATATGACTCCTAGGCATATATCCAAAAGAGGCTCAAGTACACAATAAGGACATTTGCTCAACCATGTTTGTAGCACCTTTATTTGTAATAGCCAGACGATGGAAACAGCCCCTCAACTGAAGAATGAATGCAGAAATTGTGGTACATCTACACAATGGAATATTAATCAGGAATGAAAAAAAATAAGGAAATCATGAAATTTGCAGGTAAATGGTGGGACCTGGAAAGGATCATCCTGAGTGAGCTGTCTCAGAAGCAGAATGACAAACATGGTGTATACTCACTCATATAGACATGTAATATAGGATACACCTACTAAAATCTTTCTTTCTTTCTTGTTTTACTGTCAGACTCATGTTCAGTGTATATTAACCTGCTCTGCCTGCCTTTCTTAGCCTTGGAAGTGTCTGTGCTTTTGCAGATATATTAATGTCTTTTTGCTTTGAAAACGGAATAATATTGAAGGTTGGGATAAATGTTTTCCAACAGCTATGTGAAAGGTTTTCTTAGTTAAGTGTAATAGAGATTTGTCGTTTTATTCTGCCTCTCCATAAAAACTGAAATGGTTACTAAATGAAAGGTCATTAGCACAAATGAAGTTAATTTTAAAACCATATTAAATCACTGATCACAGGTGCTGGCTGATAGTCTGATAGTCTCTTCGCTTAATGAATGTTCTTGAACGCATGATTGATTTGCATTGTTTCTTCCCTCATACATCAGCAAAACTAAGTTCATTTCAGTGTTTACAGGCTATCATTCAAATTTTAGCATATGAGGCACACCAGAATGCAAAACCACAATATTCATCTTTCAGAGTGAAATAATTAACTACTTTATTGAGTCATCATATGAGAAGTTTTTGTATTTCAGTAATGTAATTTATTTATGTCATTAAATAATGAAATTTAGCTGAATAAATCAAATACTATTGAGTATGTTTAAACATGTTCTTATTAAATTTAATAAATGTAGAACAATGCATGCCCTTTATTTTTTCCTTATTAAAATTTAAATAAAAACATATCGGCTATTTTGCAACCTTGGATGCACTTAATGTGCCATATATTGAAATACTAAGATTTGTTATAGACTTTCTTATGTATAATTACAATAACACTATAAGAGAATAGATCTTTGTCTTTTACTTTTTAAATAAATTGTAATATAGTGTGCAATGTAGCAGGTAGAGCATTAATGAAAGTTGAAGAGACATTGCCATTTGGAATATGCTTTAATGCTTAGCAGACATGTGTAACTTTTGCGGTGAAAGAAATGATGTGATGGGTAGATACAGCTTTACGAATTAGTCCTCATGTCACACAATACAGTGAGATACATCTATTACTGTGCATAATTTTGTATACCACAGTAAGGAAAAAGAAAAAAACCACACACATACAATAGATAATTATTCTATTTTTCTGGTAAATACAAGAAAAACATTGACCACAAACAATCAACTCTGTTTTAAGACTCAGAATTCTATATATCCATGAAGAATATCCTGTTCCTTTGATCAATAAATCAAGGAGAAAGAATAAGTTGACATAAAATATCGTGCTTTTTCACATATTAAGTCTCACGAAATGTTTATGGGGAAAATTCTCAAATTCTTATATTATAATCCCTAATGGCTCTTTTGTGCATTTATGCACCAGGGTTCTAGAAGCAGTGTGTATGTGTTTCAAAGCTTGACAGCAGGGCTGTTTTGCAGTAGCTTACATGCTTTTCTTCCTCTTTGTTCTCCGTGTTGCAGTTTATCATGCTAACATACCTCTTCATGCTGGCCTGGCTGGGAGTCACAGCTTTCACCTCACTGCCAGTGTACATGTATTTCAATCTGTGGACCATCTGCCGGAATACCACACTAGTGGAGGGAGCAAATCTCTGCCTGGACCTTCGTCAGTTTGGTAGGTAGATTGTGGATCAGTCTCCAAGTAAAAAATCACTTTGAATAACTGCCTCTAAAATACTGTATATTGCCCTGGAACCACCACGTACATTACCTCAGAGATAAATTTATCTGACTAGGCAGTTCAGGGAAGTCTGTACATTTAAATAGGCGGGAATTCAAGAGTGAATGGAAATTGCTATCATTATACATACACATTCATATTTGAATATGCTATAAAATTTCATTTCTGGAATTACTGGGTCAAAATTGGTTTTCTTTTTCTAATTTTAAAGCCCCTTTTAAGTTTAATCTTATATCTGTGTCCTAATTTCATTGATTCATTATTAAATGTATAAATTGAGATAACTAGTAAGGAGATAACCAAGGAAGAGATACTTCATTGTCCTCTAAGATGGGAAAGGAAAACCTGGTATTGAATATAATGAAGTTAAAGGATGTTAGAGAAGCAGAAAGATGAGAACAGAAAGAAAATAATCCTTCTCTTGTTTTGTTTTTCTTGACATTTTAAAGACTGAACCCTAGGGCCTTATTCCTATTACAGGAAAACCCTACCATGTGCTACACTCTAGCCCTTATTTATTTTTATTTAAGTCTTAAACCTCATGAATCAGTAATTATTATTCATACATACATACATAGGAAAATCACTTATAATGTTAATTTACAACATTATAAATTTATAGTTTAATGTTTCATATTATTTACATTCCTAGTGCTAATACATACAAAATAAATGTTAGTATGAAAAAAGAAATTAAAATTCACATAGAGGCCTGGAGAAATGGGTCAGAAAATAGTTAAGAGCACTAGTTCTTCTTCCAGTGGACACAGGTTCAATTTCAGCACATATTGACTAAAAACTGCCTGTAAGTCCAGTTCCAGGGAATATGATGCCTTTTCTGGCTTCTGAGGGCATTGCACACACATAATACATAGACATCCGTATGAAAAGAAACAAAACCAAAAACAAAACACTAATGAACATATTTTTAATGCATGGGGTTTTTTTTGTCAGTTCATTTTTTTATTTTTTGAGACAGGGTTTCTCTGTATATCCTTGGCTCTTCTGGACCCGCTTTGTAGACTAGGCTGCCCCTGAACTCACAGAGAACCACCTGCCTCTGCCTTGGCACAGTTATTTTTTTATGTGCCATTTTCCAGCAGTATTTTTCTTTTGTGTAACTCATTATTTCTCATGTACTCAAGCTTCAATTGCTAAGAGTATTAGGATAACCATGTGTATATTATGTTAAGTGTTTTTACATGTTTAAACATTGAATTCCCACAATTATGTATAGTAGGCAATACTTTCATTTTCTTCTATAGATAGTAAAACTGTAGACATCCCTATCTCCAGTTCCAGGAGAATTAAAGCCTCTTCTGAAATCCATGGACACTATGCATGCACACGGTACACATACACAAATGCAGGTTAAATACTCATTAACATAAAAGAAATAGGAATTATTTTTTAAAAACTGAATTCATATTTGTCGATACTCTATGAAATGATCTCTATGAAAACTTCATCACACCTCAAGCATACTAGAAATATTTTTCTAGAGAATGTAGGAAGTTTATTTGAAGATACTACAGACAAATAGGGCATAGTATAGCTATATTTTTGCTACAAAGTTCCAAAAAAGGCCTTACTCTCCTCCTAGATGAAGTTCTGAGACTCAGTGTATTATGACACAAATTTGTGGGGGTGGGCAGGAAGATATCCTCTGTATGTGAAGTTCTTGGCTAAAGGGAATATGAACTGTTCCTTCTACTGAGGGTGTAGTCTAGGAATCAAAAGGCTTGTGAACAAGCATGAAGGAAATCTACCAAGTAGACGACAGCAAAACAGTTGCATGAAAACCCAACCCTCAATGCTTCATTTTCCCCCTGCTAAAATAGAATTTTTTTGTTGTAAACTCATTATTATTATTATTTATAATTTATTCACTTTGTATCCCAGGTGTAGCCCCCTCCTTCATCTTACCCTCTTTCCCTCTTCTTCCCTTGTCCCTATCCCCTAGTCCACTGATAGGGAAGGTCCTCCTCCCCTACTGTCTGACCCTAGCCTATCAGGTCCCATATGGCTGGTTAAGTCACCCCCACCAGGGAGAAGTGATCAAGGAGCAGGCAACCAAGTTCATGTCAGAGACTGTCTCTTCTCCCCTTACTAGGAACTCACATGGTGACTGAGCTGTTTATGGGCTACATCTGAGCAGGGGGTCTAAGTCCTCTCTATTCATGGTCTTTAGTTGATGCATCAGTCTGCAGTTCCTGCTGAACCCAGCTTTTTTTGTTTCTGTTGGTCTTCTTGTGGGGCTCCTGTCCCCTTTATGTCATTTGAATGCAATATAACCATCCTTTCATGGTTGACAGATAAGATACTGAATGCCTAATTTAATTTGGATTCCAGATAAACAAGTGATAATTTTTCAGTAGAAGTATGATCCATGATATTGCATGAGTCATAATTATACAGATATTATTCATTCTTAATCTGAAATTCAAATTAATCTGAGCCATATTAAAGTTATTTTTGTTAAACCTGTTAATCTTATTCTTTAAACCTTATTTACTGTTATAAAACTGCCACTACTGAACTAAATCAAGGGTTCAATGTCTTTCATGAATGTGTCTGTGCTTTCAATAAAACTTGACAGGTCCCAATCTTTTGATGGGAAATGTTTTTCTCTCAATGATATGGTAAAATAAAATGTGTGATGCAAAAAGTTGTAATTTCTTAAGCCAGGGGGAACCAGAAGGCTGTAGCTCTTATGAAGAAAATGAAACGAACCTGCAGGATGAAAAGATAATCAGCTATCTTTATAACACCACTGACTACCCAAACAAATGGGAAGTAAGAATGTAAATATAATGTACTACTCCCTTCTATCTCCTCCCATACAACCTGCCACCACTTGTCCTTTCCAATTTCAGGCACTCTTTTTTAAAGCTAATACTTTGAGAAGATCACTCAGTGTATTTTGGGTATATTCTCCTCCTTCCCCAACGCCCAAATCCACTACCTACCTACCCAACTCAGTGTCCTTGTTTTTTTTTTTTTTTTTTTAACCCATCTAGTCTAGTTCATGCTGACTATATACTATTGTGTGTATGACCAGCCCAGCTAGTAGGGGCATGGCCAACCTGCCAGAATCTTTACCCAGTCCTTCCTATCCCAGCAGCTTTCAGTTGCCAATAGCTCTTCAGGTAGGCATGAGGCTGGTTGCCTGCCTCCCCTCTCCATCCTGGGATTTTGTCTTCCTGAGATTGTTCAGGTCTTGTGTAGGATGTTATGGTTGCCACTTCTCCAGAGTTCCAGAAAGTTTGTAAGATGCCGAAAGAGTAGTGTTTTCACAAGCCAGTGGCGTTTTCTAGACACTATCAACTCAGAGTGGCTACCACAACATGAACTATTTTTAAAACCCATTGAGTCTGGTTAGTACTGTAACTGTGTACATGAGTCTATGGCCATCCCCTGGAGCCTGGTTGGCCTATCATAAGCTATATCAGAACAAACAACAACAACAACAAAACCCTAACTCTCCCTCTTTCAGCAGCTGTCAGAATTACTAATAGCTCCTCAGCAAGGAGTGGGACTTTGTGAGACCATTCCGTGGTGGGATTATTTTTTCAACCACAATGGAATTTTTGGCTGTCTGGGTATTCTGAAGGGTTTATAAATGAAGTCACAGCTCCTGTGAGTTCATATATACCAGCTCTTGAATGATATTGCTATACTCATAGATTTGTGACTCTCATCATCCATGAGAAAAGCTTTTCTGTTTTGTTTTGTCTTCAATAAATAGAGAGAAACAAAGACCCACAACTGGTCAACGTATAGAAAATAAGATATTGCAGAGTGTTCAACCCTGACTGCAATGTCTATAACACAGCACCTCTGGAAGCAGAAAGCTTGTGAAAGCCAGAAACAGTGGGTTACTGCAGGAATACAGTGTTTTCCAGACACAACAGGACAGTTACATATATGAACTCACAGGAATTGTAATAACATGCACAATACTTGTGCAAGCTTAAGGTAGACAAAATACCAGTGTGGTGAGGAGGTATGGGAATAAAGTTTCACCCTTGGCTATAGAGATATTAGCAATATATAGCCATTGAAAGAGAGGCAGTTCGTTTTCTTTAAGGGTGTGGTCCCTGGTAGATGCCCAGCCCCTGGAAGATGTCTGCATGCCAGTTTATGGCTACATACCAAAGAATATATATATATATACCAAAGAATATATACACAAACTGGATTTGAGTTTGAAAAAAGAAATGAGGACACAAAGTTCAGTGGGTAAGACTTTTGGCATAGTTGGGAGAGAGGGAGTAAATATGATCAAAATATTTTATGAAGTTATGCAAAAACTGATTATTAAAATAAAGATAAGGTTGTGTGAATATACATGTACACACTAAGACTAACGAAGGGACATCACATACTAAAAGGTTAGAGATTGAGATGCCTGTAACATCATATATTGTTATTTTACACGTGTATGTTTAGTGCTTCAGTAGTTCTCAAAAAAAAAAAAAAAAAAGAGAAAGTAAAGGCCAAATGTAATGTGAATGCAAATTACTTCCATGCCCTAAAAGGAGGTCTAAAGCAAGAGAATAAGAGCAAGTGAGATGACTCTGGGTAGAAAGATAAGAAAAGCACAACAACCCGAGTTCTATTTCAGGGCCCATATAAAAGTGGGAGCAGATAACCAACTCTGCAAAGTTGTCCCCTGATCTGCACATGTGTTCCATAGGAACATTGTGTGGTATGTGCACTGTAGGCACACATGCTCTTGTGCACACATCATATTCACATACAATAATAAAGATATTTTAAAATTAAAATCCTACTTCAGTCTACCTTGTTAGTGTGCCCCAGGGCTCCACCTTTCCCACCTTCTCAGCCTGAACACACCCAGATTTCTCTAATATAGATCCTGGGGATCAAACACAAGTCATTGTGTTTGCAAGGCAATCCGTTTATGACTGAGCAGTTTCCCTATGTCCTTGCTGCAACACTCCAGACCCATTGTGTGTTCAGGTGTGATGAGGTCTAGAAAGAGGTGTATTTGAAAATTCCTGCAGGTGATCCTTATGTAGCTGGTCCAGGATTCAATAGACAACTGTCAACATGAGTGGAATAGCCACTTCTTTTAATTCCTGATTGCTAATAGAACTGTTTTTATATCATTGTAAGAAGAGGGGCTCATTTGAGCAACACATCTTTGTAGATTAACGAAAGCCTTGAACAAGTTGAACAAATTTGATATACTTAGTACAGCCTGGGGCGCCATCACTAAAATAGATGTGATGTTTCCACCATCACGTTAATTAACCAAAACAATGAAGTGGCTACGATAAATCTAAACAACCCAGTTGTTAGATTCAATTTAGTCCTTATGAAAAAAAATGTTTTAATTGTTGAGATAGTTTTATATCTCATATTCATAATTCTCAACACAGTTATTATGAACAATAAAAGCTGAGAAATACTTTTTTTCCATTATAGCTGAACACATTTTAACATGAAAGTTGCTGAGGTTTAAACAGCCAAAAATTATCTTTTATGGCTCTTTCAAATATATTTAATGCTAACCTATAATTTTTGACATATTGTAGGGATTGTGACAATTGGAGAGGAAAAGAAAATTTGTACGGTCTCTGAGAATTTCTTGAGGATGTGTGAATCTACTGAGGTGAGCATTTCTTACACTTTGATTTTGTCAAAACTTTAGCATACATTTTGCTATTTAAAGAATGTAGTATAGCTTGTTAAGTTTCATCAGGACTGCCTGTATCCTCTTCCTGTGGCCTGGCAGGGATACGGGAGAAGAGGGAGGGAGGGTGAAACTCAAGAGAGTAAAGAGACAGAGCTTTAATCGTGATGTATAATAAATAAATTGTGAAGAAAAAAATCAAAATTAAAAAAGAAAAAAGAATGCTTTATAATTAAACATATTTTGATTTTTCCTGTTAGAGATCATTTTACTGCAGTTGTCTCATGCAGACTGTGAGACCAAATATAAAATCTATTTTACATACTTAAATCAAGTTATTCTAAATGTTTGTATTCTAGAAACTCATTTTTCTTAAGGTTGAAAATTATTATTATTATGGTTTATTTTTCAACACAGGATTTGTCTGTGTAGCCTTGCCTGTCCTGAGCTCGCTTTGTAGACCAGGCTGGCCTTGAACTCACAGAGAGCTACCTGCCCCTGCCTCCCCGAGTGTCGGGATCACAGGTGTATGCTAGCAAAGGCTGGAAGTTATAAAGATATATCACAATTTTATATTATCATAAAACTCTTAAAATTCATCATTTCAATGACATTCTTGTCTTTATAATGAAATTATAGTTAAATGACTCAGTCTTAATGATTTAAATGATTTGAAAGATAAATGCTATTGTTGATGAAATACATGACTTGTCTAGAGATCACACTGGTTAAGGATGTGCTAAGTCTTCTTTATATGTTAGTGGCCATTCTAATCTTTCTTGTCTATGTAACAGACTCACTTTGATTTTTTTCTTTTTGTCAGCTGAACATGACCTTTCACTTGTTTATCGTGGCACTTGCTGGAGCTGGAGCAGCAGTTATTGCTATGGTAAGCCTCTCACAGCTGAATGATTGACTTAGAAATTTGAATTACAAGCTACTTGCTTGAATACATTATTTCTCATATGATTTGCATATAAGAGGTTATTGTCAATATACTAAGAGGGGAGTCTAGGGATATGGATCGGTGGATAAGAGCACTGGTTGCTCCCTCAGAGGAATTGGGTTCAATTCCTAGCATCCACAGGGTAGCTTTTAGCTGGGGATGTGACACCTTATTCTGACTTCCAGACACCAACATCCATGTGGTATGAAGACAAAACACTCATATACATAAAATAAACATAAGTCTGATTTTTAAGCAGAGGGAAAAGAATTTTTAAAATATATTTATTGATTTATTTGGGGGGTAGAGACCAGGTGTGCCACAGGGTATGTATGAAAGTGAGAGGACAATTTTAGGTAATGTGTTCTCTTTTTCTACCACGTAGGATGTGGGATTTGAACTTAAGTCATTAGGCTGCAATCTCTTTAACTCACTGATCCATCTCACTGATCTGATAAGTTTTATTTATAATAGAGTATAGAAGATTATGTTAAAAAATGTAAAACATTCTTTTGAGATTAATTATCTCTGGTCAGTATCATACTAAAATTCTGAGTTATCATAAATGATTGACAGCACTATTTCTGACTTCTCCAATTTGATAATAATTTACCACTACTGTTTCTACAACTAAAAGCATATTTTTAAAAGATTTTTCAGCCATTTAATGTACTTATATGATTTATGCACAGTAACACATTCAAGATTTATGTGATAGTTCTTTTTACAATCTCATTTTCTACTCTCAATATAGCTATCATTACTATTTCCAAGAAATAGTTGAGGAATTCAAATAGTTTCTGTCCTATCAAAATATTGAAGCCTTCATCTGTAATTGAAGGCAGATTAACAAGGATTTGCATTAAAACCAGGAATTTCTCTATGCCATTATTTTGTATCCATGTTAGGCAGGACCACACTCTAGCAGAATAATCCCAAGAGGACCTTGACATCTTCATCCAGGGATGGGGAGCAAGAGCATGACAGCGGGGCAAAACTTCTTCCCAGGTTTAGAACTAGATGGTTCTAGATTTCTGGAAATATTTGCAATATGGAACTTCTAAATAAAAGTTGATGAACATATATATTACATAATTTGTTCTTTGTGCGGAAAGGCCAATCTACTTTCTAAGCGATTTTCAAGGATACAATACATAATTATTAACTATATTTGTCACTTTGGAGAACAGATCTGCTTATCATATATTCATTCTGTCCAGTAATTTTGGGTGCTTTGATCCAGATATTTCCATATTCTCCTTAAACCTTTGGTCGTTCTGCTTTCCACTGTGAGTTAGACTTTTAGATTGAGCATATGAATAGGATTGTGCAGTTTTTATTTTTGTGATCTTGGGTGTGTCCAAATATATAATCCAAGTATTAGTCAAGTAACAGAATTTTCTCCTTTTATCAGACAATATTATTACATTGTGAATTATATGATCAAAATTTCATATAAATTTGAGCACTTGGGAAAAATGTTTGATACACACATATTTTGACAGTATTTAAATTTTCATAATGTAATGAGCCATAGCATAGAATGTAAGAATATTATCCAAAGCACTTTCCCTCAATGGGATTACAGCTCATACTAAACAAAATATAAAATTTCATGAATGGAACTAGAAATGATCATCCTGAGGGAGGCAACCCAGAAGCAGAATGACACAGATGGTATATACTCACTTGTAAGTGGATATTATCCACATAATATAGGATAAACAAACTAAAATCTATAGTCCTAAAGAAGCTAAGCAATAAGGAGGACACAGGGTAAGATGATCAATCCTCATTCAGAATGACAAAGAGGATAGACATTGGAAATTGAAGAAGACAGAGAAAAGGACAGGAGCCTACCACAGAGGGCCTCTGAAAGAATCTATCCAGCAGGATATCAAAGCAGATACTGAGATTCATAGCCAAACTTTGGGCAGAGTGTAGGGAATCTTATGAAAGAAGAGACAGAAAGAAAGACCTGGGAGGAGACAGGAGTTCTACAAGAAGAACAAAAGAGCCAAAAAAAATCTGGGCCCAGAGGGGGCCTGCAGAGAATGATGAATCCACCAAGTACCATGTATGGAGAGTACCTAGACCTCAGATGTAGTCCATGTGCAGCTCGGGCTCTTTGGAGGTTTCCTAGAAAGGAGCTCAGGGGAAGTCTATGGGATTAACTCAGTTGTATGTTCTTTGTTCACTTCCCCCTGGAGAGGTAGCCTTACTAGGCTACAGAGAAAGAGGATCAAGACATTCCTGATGAGACCTGATAGGATAGGGTAAAAGATAATAGGGGAGGAGAACCTCCCCTATCAGTGGACTAGGGTAGGGTCTGAGGGAGAAAAAATGGAAGGAGGTGGGGCCAGGAGGACATGAGGGAGGGGGCTACAGCTGGGATACAAAGTGAATAAATTGTAATGAATAACTATTAGTAATAATAATATTATAAATAAAATTTCAAAAGAAATAGAATGTTCTAAAAATGGCAAAGCAAATTATAATTTTTCCTACATTTTGATGTCACAAAAAGTACAAGTAGGAGCTGTTAGTATAGCTCAATGGTAGAATGCTCGTTTAACTTTCAAAGATCTTGAGTTGCTCACCAACATTACAATTAATTAAGTTTTTGTTGTAAATTAACTAGATAAATAAACTACAATATTAACTATTTAAAATGGTTTTTATTATGTACTTTTCTAGTGTCAGTTGGCTTCATGTCTTTCGATGTTTTCCTTTTATTAAATTTTTTACTGAAATAGAATTACATCTCTTTCCTTATACTTTCCCTCCTCTATCACCTCCCAGTTACCCCCTTCAAACCGCTTGCATGCTCCCTGTCTTAGTTGCCTTTCTCTTGTAATGACAAAAGACCATGACCAAGGCAACTTATAAAAGAAAGCATTTACTTTAAAGGCAAACTTTTCCAGGAGGTTAGAGTCCATGACTGCCATGATAAGAGTATGGCAGTAGGCAGACAGGCATGGCATTGCAGCAGTAACTAGGAGTTAAGGGGAGGAGGTCCTCCCCTATCAGTGGACTAGGGGAGGGGCATAGGGAAAGAAGAGGGAGGGTGAGTGGAATGGAGATGGAGGGGGCTACAGATGGGATACAAAGTGAATAAATTGTAATAAATAAATAAGTTTTTTAAAAATTGAAAAAAATAAAAACAGTTGTCAAAAACAGAGAGAAATTAAAAAAAAAAGTTTACATCTGATCCACAGGCAGACAGGAGAGAGGAAAGCAGGGAGATAAGAGATTGTGAAAGAATGCTATTTGGGAATGGCAGGTACTTTTGAAGCCTCAAAGCTCACTCCTAGTGATACATTTCCTTCAGCAAGGCCACATCTCCTAATCCTTTCCAAATAGTTACATCAGTTGCAAACCAAGCATTCAAACACATGAACCAATGAGGGCCATTCTCATTCAGATCATAACATCTCTCCACTCCCAACTGATAGCCCATTTTTCTTTGATTATAGTCTTGATTATTAAGTTACTTAGTAATTTATTTTCTAATTGTTGAATAAAACATTCCCTATATTTTTAATCTCAAAGAAAGTACAACTTAATCATGAACTCATCCATCAGAATTTATCATGTTGAACCTTTCATTTCTCAGTATTGAAGACTGGACCTAGGGGCTTGTGAATGCTAGGCAAGCATTTGACCACTGAAGTAGACGAGGTGAGGGTTTAACTAAGGTGTTCAAGCTGACCTTGAACTTTTATCCAGGTTGACATTAAAGCTGTGAGTCGGCTACTGTAGCTAATTAAATGGCTGGAAATACTGGCCTGTACCACCAGATTTAGCTTATGTGATTCCTTTTTAAAAAACATAATACCTTTCTAGTTATTATGAATACATATTAATATAGAAGATCCATATGGCAAAATTTGTTCTATCTTGTAGTACCTAATGTCACATAAAGGCAATTAAAAATCAGTTGTGATTCTGTTGCTCTCCTTGTGGGGTTCCTGTCCTCTCCAGATCTTACTATTTCCCACTTCTTACATAAGATTCCATGCACTCTGCCTAAGAGTTGGCCATAAGTCTCAGCATCTGCTTTGATAGTCTGCAGGGCAGAGCCTTTCCGAGGCCCTCTGTTACAAGGTTTCTTTTTCTTTTTTAAAGATTTATTATCTGTACTGTTCTGCCTGCATATTTGCCTGCAGGCCAGAAGAGGGCACCAGATCTCATTATAGATGAGATATGGTTGTGTGAATTGAACTCAGAACCTCTGGAAGAGCAGCCAGTGCTCTTAATCTCTGAGCCAAAATTTGAACACAGGGGTCTTCCCAGAGACTCATACTCCAACCAAGTACCAAGCATGGAGATAACCTAGAACCCCTGCACAGAGGTAGCCCATGGCAGTTTAGTGTCCAAGTGGTTTACATAGTAATGGGAAGAGGGGCTGCCTCTGACATAATCTGATTGGCCTGCTCTTTGATCACCTCCCCCTGAGGGTGAAGCAGCTTTACCAGGCCACAGAAGATGACAATGCAGCCACTCCTGATGTAATCTGATAGACTAAGATCAGAAGGAAGGAGAGGAAAACCTCCCTTATCAGTGGACTTGGGGAGGGGCATGCATGAAGGAGGAGGAGGGAGGGTGTGACCATGAGGGGAGGAAGGGAGGGGCTTATGGGGGGTATACAAAGTGAAAAAGTGTAATTAATAAAATAAAATTTAAAAAAATTAACAAATCAAAAAAAATCAGTTGTGAACACAATTTCCTTGATAACTAGATACACAAGTTTAGAACTCCTAAGAACATTCTTCTCAGCACAATATGAATTCAAATCACAAACTGTGTAAGGGAGTATTTCTGCTTGTGCATTAAAGATCACAGACACATGAATATGAAGCATGCAGTCTTAGGATTTGGGTAAATGATAATAGCATAGACAGGAAGCATAATAGCCTTTATAATCAGTCTTGGATTATTTTAGAATTGGAAAAGAAGAGATATTTGGCTGAGTGGGGAATATCTTTTAGCCACAGTGTTCTTACCACACCAATGTTGTTTCCCTTTAAAGTATGAACCTTTCATGTATAAATATATAGTTTGGTGTATTTATTAGATCCTAGCAACAAAATACTGAGAGTGAACGGACTTCCAGTATGAATTATCTTGTCTCTGTCAGGTCCACTACCTTATGGTTCTGTCTGCCAACTGGGCCTATGTGAAGGATGCCTGCCGGATGCAAAAGTATGAAGACATCAAGTCGAAGGAGGAACAAGAGCTTCATGACATCCATTCCACTCGCTCCAAAGAGCGGCTCAATGCATACACATAAATATATTTCTCTGTTCCTTACCATTCAAATGCATTGGTGTTTAATTAAGGGCCATCCAACCATCCAACCTTTGAAAAGCAAACTGGGAGTGCTTCTCATCAAAGATATGCAGGGTGACTAATGAATCACCTGAGTGCAACTCTTTGCTGTTTAGCATTCAATCTCCTAATTTGTTGAATTGGAATAACCAAATCTCTTCTACAAGCTCCTGTTTGGTCTTTTCTTTTTCTTTCTTTCTTTCTTTCTTTCTTTCTTTCTTTCTTTCTTTCTTTCTTTCTTTCTTTCTTTCTTTCTTTCTTTCTTTTTAATTCTTCAACTACTTTGGTAGTTCTGGAAGATGAAAGATATTAACGTTGCAAAATGCAAGTATTTGTTTGATTTTTAATCACCTTCAACATATCACACATAACACTTTTTTGCATTATTTCTTATGTTTTGAAAAGAAAATAGCTTTTTATACTTTTTAGTTTTGATTTCGGTAACTAGTTTAACTACAGGTAACCTTCAAAGGGACCATTGTACATTACAAATAAGAGACAGAGATGGCATCAAGGTGAGTCTTCTTGATATGGAATCTAGTCTGGAGATCAGTGGCCTCATGTCTACAGGCCCTGGTTATTGTTTTCATCAATCTAAGGTGCAATTTCTAAATTTATAAGGGTAGGTCAAAAAAAGTGCTTCTTATCTTTGTTAACATTGTATTTTTTTCTTGATGTACTTAAAAGGTATTTCTCTGATTACTCATGTTTATGTTGTGAGCATGTAGAAACAGTGATGCTAATGCATGGCCAGTTGCCTTTCTAAGATTGTGACACCAGGCTTACCTTTTAAAGTTTAGTGTAGAAACAATTATCATGGAAATAACTACTGTGGACTGTTGGAGAATGATCTTTTTGTGATTTATGCAGTGGCTGGATTGGATCTTTTAATATGCTAATGTGGAAAATTAATTACCTTTATGAAGGTGGTATATTAAACATAAGCACACTAACCCCTCAAGACTTGTTTTACCTACTTAAAACTTTTCATGGATTGCACCTCTGTAAGCTATTTCTTAAAATGTGTATGATATATTTGAAAAGACTTCCATTAATATAATAGCTTTGCTTGCAGCCTTCCGATCTATGTTGGTTTACCTGTAGTGTTTTCTAAAGGGTGGTCACAAGCCACTATAGAATGTATTGTTTGGGGGCGTAGTGATATATTTGTGTTTTTATTTCAAGTAAGTCATTTTAACCGAATGTTGTTCATTCATATTCATTTATAAGAAGTACCTATATCAGACAAATTTTAAACAAAAAGCAATCTGTATTACTGGACCAAATTTAGTGTTTGTTTTAACCTTGACTCTCTTTTGATTATTTCTAATGCTACAAGAATGCTGTAAAGTGTCATTTAAAATAATGATGTAACCTGACAAGAATTTTGTCAGTGTATAAACCTAGGTAGTATTGTGCACTGATTTGACCATTGTGAAATCCTCCCTCAGTGTAAGTGCATTCCCAATAAACTTTATTGAGTGAAACAATCTTTGTACAACTACTAGTCATGCATCATCAGTAATTTTACAAGTTCTTGTAGTAGGTAGGGGGTATTACTAGCGTTATTTGTGGCATGATTATGCATTCTGTAATATTAATTTGGGGGTCTTTTGCTTTTTTAACACTTAGATTATCTTACCAGTTCAACGTTTTCTGATATATGCAGTATTAAAGTTATACAGCAAAAGTATTAACGGGCTTCTTTAAATTCTATATGATAGTGTTTCAGTTCTGTGTCTACAGTTTGTGATGATTTTTAAAACTGTCTTTTAAATTTATGTAATGATGTTGACATTTTGGCTTATGTTTCTGGTTTTAGAGTTTGTATTTTCACTGAGTGCTTTGTAGCAGGCATTAAAAGTAATCTGTTTTGTACATAAATGTGCCAACAGCTTGATGGTGGCGTTTTTGAAATGTAGAACAAAGTGCTTGCAAAATGTAATAAATACACTTGTGTACTTTGTGTACTTATTATTAGTTTCTGCAGTGTTTCTTGTTTGTCTTGTTGATTCCTCTTCTTGTGTGTGCAGTGTTTTCAAAGGCAGTAGATGCCATCTGGTGACAGTTCTTATTTCAGTTGAGGGGATCAGACATTTCAACATCTAGTAAAAAGTCTCTGTGTCAACATCCACTGGGAAAAGACTGAGGAACGGCTGATGAAAAAAGTCTTTGGGGGTTATTTTGTGTTTAAAATGTTGTTTGCCCAATTTTTTATGTTTTCTTGCCTGATTTCTGTTCTTTGTGCTTTCTCTAGGGTTTCACAGACTCAGAGAAAAACAAAAAAGAAAGACTAATGTAATTCAGAAACAACAAACAAAACGATTTCTTTAGGTTGCTTCTAAATATCAAGGTGAGAGCAAAAAAAAAAATGGAAAATTTTTCTAGAATTTTTGTTTTAGGTCTAAATTATTTTTCTTCTTATGGCCACAGTCACATAGATTTATGACATCAGAGTTACCAGTTAACTTCATAAGATACAGGAAATGACAGTCTTTATTCATGCATTGCTGCATATTACAACATGAAACTTTAATGAGCTTCCACTAAGGACATGTGCAGTGCAGAAAGTGTACCTGTACAACTACCTTAATTATATTTAAAATCATTTTTCAACATAATAAGACTTATTTCTCCATGAATCTAATACATGATGCTTAGATTTTTATGTCTCTCAGGGTTTATTAATTTTAGTACAGCAATGAGATAAATTGTTTTCAAAACTATCAATGCGAACAGAAGTTTTGTAATACGGTGTTTCTACTTTACCCGTGGGAAATCTGTTCTAAGATTCCCAATGCATATTTGAAACTGTAGTGTTAAGCCTTATACTCATTCTGTTTCACCTATGCTTATACATATCTATGATATTGAATCCATGTTACATACAATAAGAAATTAGAAATAGTAGTAATAAAAAGGACAGCTATAGCAATATATTAATTAAAATAATATAATCTCTCTTTTGTCTCCTCTCTCTGGCTCTGGTCCCTCCCTTCTCTGTCAACTGCGATATTGTTGGTAGTATGTTCACTGTGGCTATATGGACAAATGGGGAGTATGTGCCTTAGATTTCCTGAAAACAGCTGCAATGTACACTGTGGATACACTGGAAATGGGCGGTGTGTAAACTATGGGTACTGTGGACAAATGAGCAATATGTATGCTTTGATACACTGGTAATGTGTACTCTGTGGGGGATACCTTGGAGAAACAGATAGTATGGACACTGGATAACCTGAACATGTGGGTCATTCATAGTGGAACACAGATCATTACAGTAGTCATAACACAACTAAAAATTTATGGACTTCTGAAAATTTTCATTAATTTTTTTGGCTATGATTGATTATGAATTAACTAAAGTAAAACACCATAAAGAGAAGAACTACTGTATTATATTTTTCAAAATGTGATTACCATGGCAGTATATATTTTAAGGTTTTTTTTTGCAAAATCATAATTTAATTAGAACATTTCTTCCTTCCTCTTTTTCATTCCAAACATTTCCATATATCCTTCCCCACTTTTCTTCAAATTCATGTCATTTCTTTTTATCTAATTGTTATTGCAGCATTTTTTAATGAAGTATCCTTTACTTTTTATTTTAAGAAAGCTACAAAGCATATCTTTAAATTATATCAACATATAGTTAATGTTAATACTAAGGAAATTATTAATTTTAATAATAAAATATGTACAGGCCAACTTTAATTTGGACTTATAATGTATATTCATATTAAAAGGTAAAAAAGATTTTCTGAAAAGCAAGTAAATCTAATTCTGTTTTCATCTTAACAAACTAGACATAAAGAGGCTTATAGTGCATTTATTTTAAGCAAATGTATTGCTTAAATTGAATTATTTTAAGGAAATTTGAATTATACTATAGTATCATAAAAACATGCCTTAACATAGCTTACAATGTGTTAAGATAATATATCATTTTAAGCCACTGGAGGAAATCCGCATAAAATTCTACCTGTTATAATATAATCAACCATTACCAGCCTATATAATTAAGATACTGAATTTCTTAGCATGAAAATAAATATTAGGAGTTTTTCTATTATTGTTCAAGAATTTTGTTGTTCTTTAAAACTAAAGAGAATCTTAATAGGAAAATAATGAATTATTGATAAATGAATCAAATATTCTTACTGAAACAACATCTTCATATGTGTAGTTATAAACTGTGAAAAGTTTCTTGGTGATATGTGAAAATATCAGAGAAAATAAAATGAAAATAAAAATGAAGGAATTGAAATACCTGAGCTATTATCACAGAAATCAAAGGAACCACAATGTAGGAGAGAGTTTTCTGTGCCATTCACATTGGATGTTGACTATGTGAGCATCATGAACATTGGATTGGTTTTCCTTTTTATTTCTCTTTACTTTTGTCTACTTGAGATGTAGTCTGCAGAGTAAAGACCATTTTATTACCATGTACTCCAAACTGTTTTTTTTACCCGTTTGTAAAATACCTGTCCAATCTTTATTTCACATTAGACATTACTTTAGGAGTTCATAATACTGTGATTTGTAAAGTAGACAGTCCTTCTTGCTTGTTCAGACACACATTCTAGAAATTAAGTTATTTCAGATGATTACAATGCATAAAGAAAACACAAAAAGTCACATGTTGCAGCATGACTGTGTTGCTACAAGATAAGAGTAAGTTGTAGGACAGGCTTCTTGGGGAGCAGTCCCATCGATGGGGTCATAGACCCAATGATGAGAAATCAGCTAAATGTAGAGTGGAGGAAAGAAAATATAGGCTCAGAAACGGAAAGGGCTAAGGTCCTGAGACTAGAATAGACTCAGTAAGTTCAAGAAACAAAGAAGCCTGTGTAATTAAAAGCAGATGAATGATGGGAGAGTGTGGAGGAGGATAAAAGATACAGGCAGAGATATATGACATAAGGCCCCGTGGTACATGGTAAGAAGTTTAATTTTTTTTAAGTACAAGGACCTAATTAATCTTTTAAAATTCAAGGTACTCCTATCTGACTCTGTAGTCCTGGGATTTTAAGCAAGTGTCATCCCACCTGGCCTTTTTTTCTGTCATCATCCTTTTATACATCTTGTTTTTTTCTGTTCTGTTCTGATATGTCCAAGTGAGTATGCTGTTTTATTTTTATTGGAAAAATTTATACACATGACCTTAAGAAAATAATTCACCAACTTACTAGTTGATGAATCTGTGAATTTACCCAATGACTTACTGACAATACATATGAAACATCTTTGTACCTTGTTTTAAATAATTATTGTTTCCAAAGTAAGGGGAACAAGGATTATTTTTAACAGGATCTCAAGGGCAGGCTCTTTGACATCCCCCCTCCCCCCCCCCAAGGGGAGGAGCAGTCCTGTTAGGCCACAGAGGAGGACTTTGCAGCCAACCCTGAAGATACCTGATACAACAGGGTCAAATGAAAGGGGAGGAGGTCCTCCCCTATCAGTGGACTTGGAAAGAGGCAGGGAAGAGACCAGGGAGGGAATGTGGGGTTGATGAGGGAATGAGGGAGCGGGATACAGCTGGGACACAGAGTTAACAAAATGTAACTAAAAAGAAAAATAAAATTTAAAAATAAATAAATAAATAAATAAGTATTGTTTACTTCCCCTTTGGTCTTTAAAACACTTCAAACTTTCACATCTATTTTTACACAAATTTGTCTATATTATGTATATATTTGCTTTTCTGCATGTTTTCTACATATAGATGGATAGATAGATAGATAGATAGATAGATAGATGACTTTGCTCAGAAGATTTCAGCCTAGCAATTTAACATATAAAGGAAAATGATTTCTCAAAACAATAAATAAATGATAAAATAAAAAGTACCAGCATTATTTAAGGGTTCAAAGAAAAGCTTGAACCATCCACTAGACTGTATTAATAAAAGCCAGCCATTTTAGATCCTATTTTTCCATTAGTGTCCTATCTTCAGTGACCCAGCAAACACAAGTCAGACTTACTTGCCATTGCAGTTATAATTGACATCAACTTTTTCTATAAACACAATTCTGAAAATTATTATATTCGTCATCTTCCTTTAGAGTTTTATTTTAAATAAAAAGATACCAAGCCTTTTAAATAAATACAATAATATTTTGAAGTGAGAACTGAGTGTTCTGGGTTCGGGAATGAAGCTTAACAAGGGAGTAATTTTCCTGAAAGGCCTCTATGGTTTGAAATAATTTTTCTTTCCAAGTCACCAAGAGCTTAAAGTAGATAGAACTGATTTTTTTTTTTTGTCATTTCTCAACTTAATAAAATTTGCCATTTGAATGCTTCCATTATGGATAACACAAGTAAAAGTATCTGATCCACTAATAGTCAATAACTTTAAAAAGCAGCATTCACTTTCTCAATTTCAGTGCAAAGAATATGTGTACATTTCTTATGTGGCCTTTACTATATACATTGTTACCACTAGTGAATTCTTCTTCTTCTTTTTTTTTTTTTTTTTTTGAATTATTCTTTAAGATTTATTATGTATACAGTGTTGTGCCTGCATATACACCTGCAGGCCAGAAGAGGGCACCAGATCTCATTATAGATGGTTGTGAGCTACCATGTGTTTGCTGGGAATTGAACTCACGACCTTTGGAGAAGCAGCCAGTGCTCTTAACCTCTGACCCATCTCTCCAGCCTACGAATTATTCTTTAATTCAACCTTGTAAATTGTTTTTTGTAATTTTTTATATATTTATTATTTAATAGAATTTACTCACTTTGTATCCCGGCTGTAGCCCCACCCTCATCTCCTCCCATTCCCACCTACCCTCCCTCTTCTTCCCCTATGCCCCTCCAGTAGTCCACTGATAGGGGAAGTCCTCCTCCCCTATCATTTGACCCTGGCCTATCAGATCTCACAAGGACTGGCTGCATCCTCTTCCTCTGTGGCCTGGCAAAACTGCACCTCCTAGAAGAAGGTGGTCAAAGAGCCAGGCACTGAGTCCA